TTCCTGAGGTCTGACCACAAGTACTGTTCCATCCCTGCCTGCATCTCTGGACCAGTGTTGTCCTTGACTGAGCAGGCCTGCCAGCTACCCTTCCTCACCCTCCTCAGGTCAGAGGGGAACTTGAAAAACCTCTGTGGTCTGTGATTTTCCAAGAAACAGAGGAAGCCGGTTCAGGGCCTCCCTCTTTGCTGACCACATGGCACAAACATTTTCATTCTGATTGGGCTTCCCCATACTGGGAAACTCTGAAAGCTGTTCTCGAAGCACTGCAGACAGCAAGGGCAGAAACCTCTATCTCAGATCTCAAACTATGTACCATACTGGCTCCATTCTCAAATTTGCCCTGAAAAAATTCCTGAGGGCAGGCATCTCCCAGCCTTCTTCTCCCACCTTCATCTTCTCTCCGTCGCAGGTTCTCAGGCTGGCAGTCCGCACACTCTCTGCACAATATTCTGTGTCGTCCCCACTGCTTTGAGCCTCAACAGTGATCAGTTGGTTTCTTATCCTACCATCTCTTTTGCTGGGCACTAAGCTCAGGTCTCAGCCTTGACGTTGCAGAGTGTCAAGAAAACATAATTTTAAAAGAGAAAATTAGACTTAAAGTTTGCAAAGTACCATCCCCTATTATATTTAGTTGGGTTTACATGTTAACTGATATCTCTGAATACAGTTTCTTTTTATTGAAGTCTTAATATCCAGAGACCAAATATACCTTAACCAAGTAAAATTAACTGACCATCTAGTAACTATGGAATAGCTGTGAAGTAACCACTATGAACATGCTTAACACTTTGTATGCTAGTGTTACATACAAAATTAATGCCATAAAAAGCAAAGATGGCTTTCAGATATAAAAACCAGAAAGACAGGGCAGGTGGTACTCATTAATGAAAATGAAGGGTACAGAACAATCCTATTTGACAGGGAGGGGGCAAGAATTATGTGTTTGATTTTACACGTGGCAAGTTAACTACCACAGACAAATCAAAGTCACCTGGGGATTTCTTAGAAGTACCTGAAGATTGTGCATCTAAAAGATTACACTATAAGCCTTGTGTGTTTTGAAAATTATCAAACCAGAAAATTCTTGTAAAGAAACTTAAACAGAGCACCATCTGAGAGTTCTGGGTCTGAATGGTAGGCTTGATCTTAAGAGTGGGTAAGAAAAGGGATTATAGATTGAGGTGTGAAGAAGACAGAGGCTAGACCTGTGAGGAACACCAGTGTTTGTGTGACGGGCAGGGGAGAGCAGTTACTTAAAAGTAAAAAAGCTGGATATGCTGTCTCACAAAGTCAAAAAAATAGAGTTTTTAAGCCTAAGAATAGCTAACAGGATCAAATGCCTCTATGGGACAAAGAGAATTGTCCCTCAAGTTTAGCAATAAGGAAATCTTCAGTAGAGTAAAAGAGTCAAAAGGCAGACTGAAACAAGTTAGTATAACCATACAGTAAAGTGAGACATTTGCTACAGACTGCAAAAATTTGGTCAACAAGGACATTAACAATAAAAGCAATTCAAGAAACTAGGTATATTCTTTAAAGATAAAAGATATCTGAGCACATTCATAGGCTGATGAGAAGGAATTAATCAAAATGAAGAAACTAAGGAAATAAGAGAAAGGACCACTAATATAACTGAACCCTAGGATGTCCGGGTCTGAGCATACAATACCAGATCTTCCTAAATAAAAGCAGGCACGCGTTTGTGCTCTTCCTCTGAGAGCTCATGGAGATGTAGGGAACCTGTAGGGAACCTGCAGGGAGCCCACAGGAAACCTAAGGTGTTTCTGAGTTTCTTGGTGGTGTAAGAGGTGAAAGAGCCACCAGGAAAAATGAGGAAAGAATGTAACTGAAAGCCAAAGAAAAGAGCTAATCTCCACTGTGTGACTTTAGGAGTGTCACTTACCCTTGTTGGACATCATTTTTCCCCATCTGCATACATTTATTCATTTATTAGTGCATGTAACCCACAATACCTTTGAAGCTTAATAGGTGCTAGGCACAGCCCTAGATGTTAGGGACATGGTAGTAGATGGGACACACCTTAAACCAAGGGACCTGCAATGGACAGTCATCGCCAAGTTCTCCCTGAGATTCTTTCTCCAGCAAGTGCATGTAAAAGCACTACAATTCATTCACTGTCAGGTTGTGAGACCCATGGACCTTTAGGGGTTCAGTTATGATCAGATATGGAATGAGACAGTGGTTCCCCACTTGAGGTTCCTGGACACTAAGGAAGTCCATGAAATTATCAATAATGAATTTAAAAAATTGTTTCTGTCACTTTAAAAGAGTTAAATGGGAATTATACTCAAAACATTAGCACCACCCTAGTAAAAAGTAAGTGTTCGTGCCTGACAGCCACACGTTCTCATGTACGCATGTGCATGTTTCTGCCTTAAAATGGGGGAGTGGGTAGTATTAGTATTATGCAGTAAATAGAATTTAGCACCACGAAGATCCCAAGCAAATTAAAACCAAGGGGAACTTTTAAAAATCTTTCTTCAAGGCTCCTGAGTGGTGAAAACTTGGAGAAGCCTCAGCAGTGAGGAAGACCCTGGAAGTAGTCTTGGAAGAAATAGCTTGTTTGGATCCCACCTTGGCCACCTCTCTGTGCAGAGCCTAGTCTGTGTCTCTCTGAGCCTCGTCTGTAAGGCTTTTCACACTAAAAGTGAACCTGTATGGAGTCGAGAGGATTTAATGAGGGATTTTACAGTTTCATGTTGTCAACATGATATAGGTATAATAACAACAGAGTTCACGGTGCAGTGAGTGGGAAGAGCCTAAGATGCAGAGTCAGACACCCCAAGTTCAAATCCTAGTTACAGCTGGGGGTGGGTGATGGACAAAAATGTTTACCTATTCTATTCTTTAGAAGCCCTTTAGTGTTTTTCTCTTTCTCTCTTTTGTATTATTGTTCGAGTACGATTGTCTCCATTTCCCCACCACCACTACCCCCCACCCCAGCCTGCTCCCCACCCTCAGTCCTACCCAGCTTTGGCTTTGTCCATGTGTCTTTTACACATGTTCCTAAAATCCCTTTGCCTTTTCCCCCCATTACCTCCTCCCACCTCCCCTCTGGTTATTGTCTTAAAAGGAAATATGTTACGATTTCCACTTTTCTAATCTAGCACATCATGATGCTTTATTTCCCCTAGATATAGACCAAAACATAAACCTCATTTCAAAACCTCATGTCAGATATCTGATAGATGTCAAGGGCAAAGAAGAATAAGGTACATTATACTATGTATAATCATTACATGGTAATTATAATAGTATGCTATTATCATACTTTATTGATCTCATTACTTTGTTACATTACACTCATCCTGAACCAGGGAGATAAAAGAAATATTATTTCAACAGAGCAATTCAACATTCAAGTCAGTTAGCTAAGGAATCCTCTCTCACCTCTACCCACCCTCTCTCCCCTCCAGTGAGTCCCCAAGGAAAGAGGTAATTTTTCAATTGTCAGTTATGCCTATTTATCAAGTCAATTATCACAAAATCTAAGCAATTAGCATTAAGTCTAATTGCAGAAAACATCGTCCTACCCTGCCTGCTTCCCTGTCCTCTCCTTAGGTGTCCTGTCTGTATCCAGAGAGGCCACGTGAGAGTCTTCGGCATTGCTCTGTTGTATTTGACAGATGCCTATCGTATCTGGATACAGCCCACTTGTCTTCAGCTTAGACTCCCAAGAAGTGTCCTTTGGGCATAGATTTACTCACTGATGTAGTTACTGCACCCAACTGAATCACCTTTTACTTGGCAATTCAGCATGGCTTACGTGTAGACCATATAAATTATCCATAAACAGCAAGCTCAGGAAGCCATGACATTAAATGACACTAATCCCATTAGGCACCACAAATTCTCTGCACAAAAAGGAGAAAGGGCAAGAAAGGACGATGAGAGTAGATAACGTTTACTGTGGGTAGGAGCATTTCTGGAGCAGGTAAGTCAGTACTGAACAACCTAGCTCTAAATCTGTTACCTTCCCAACCTACCCCTCCTTTATTGGCTTTTGTATGCATTAATGCTTGAAAATTGCCTACTGAAGGCCCTTCAAGTCCTACGATAGCACCTGGAAAACGCATTCAATGATACATCGTATCTCATGTCTTTCTTCTCAAAGAGGCCTTTCTAAACCTCAACCCCGACCACACATTTGCATGACTCAGCAAGCTTCACAAAGCATGGATATAAGGTCGCACCGCAGATTAATCATTAGAATCAGGCGGGTTGGGCAGGCACTGATGGTTTTTCTCAGGTCCCCAAGTCATTCTATTGCGCAACCAGTGTTGTAAAAGCAGCTGTGATGTCCACATTTTCACTTACTGTAATTTCCAAAGCACCTCACCCTTCCCCCAAATCCTGGAGAACACGCGGAAGTCAGGAAGTAGGGTCTGGGGGCGTCCTTTCTGATAGCTTGCAGTAACTTGTTCCATCTCGGAATCTACCAGGCTGACAGAACTGATCATGTTTCTAGACCAGATAGATCCTCTGAGAGGATATTGTCAATGCCTTAGGGGGTTGCCTGAATTCTTCACAAGAATGCACTCTACCTATTAAAAAAAGTCAGATTGTTCATGCCTTTGACACTTTGCCTTTCCCATGTGTGCGAATCAGCCACACAGCTGCCTTTCCCATTAGAACATGTGTCGGATGCCCGTCCCAGAAGTGCCATTCTCTGGTTAATCTGAGTTCAGGCCTCTATGGAGATCACCCACAGACCTTTATCCCATGTTACACCCTCCCTTTCCACCCTCTCAGAATCTCCAAAGATGAGCAACACTGGGGTTTGTTTGTTTTGTTGTTTTTCACACAACATCGCTGCTAATCTTAACCAATGTATCATTCACAGGCTCATGGCTTGACAATACTTGCCAATACAAGAAAGAAGTAGGCCCAGAATTATGCAATGTCTCTCCTTTGATTGGACTTTGCACCCAGGAAAGCAGTTCAACAAAAACCCTGATCAAACACAAACGATTGCTGTGGCACTCTCACCCTTTGCTAATAAATCCCTGTGCACATGTGTTTGGCCATCACACGCGGAGCTGCCTACCCAGACCAGATGCCGGCCGGCCCGGGGCTCGTTTTGGCCGTGTTGCTATGCACGTTAGAAATCAGTGTCCTGTCCGCGAAGCCAACTCCCAGGTGAGCCTCTCTGCTCTTTGTCTCTGCGATTTCACTGTAGGCTTTGGGACTTCAAGGTGTACTTCTTAAGAGAAAGCAGGTAAAAAAAGAAATTAACCTGCACTGAGATAGGTAGCCCAGAATTTAAACTTTTAAAAAAAGGGCAAAAACTGGCAAGAGGTATGTCTTTGAGAGAGTTTTCTGAGGAAACCCGCTGCCCTTTTCAGGGATTTCTTTGAAACAAGGAACTCCAACGTTAAGGCTGAGATCGTCTTTCAGTACCTGGAATTCTGAAACAAAGCCCGTTTTTTCTAGAGTGTGATAAACCTGGACTTATCAGTGCCAAATGTCCGAGAAGGTTAAAAGCTAAGGAAATGAATCTTTCCCACACTCTGCCTCAATGTCTAACACTGAACCTTTGAATCCAGTGCCCATTTGTCCTGCATTAGGCAGAGGTTAACCATCTTTGTTCCTCTTCTCTGACATCCCAAATTGTGCCCCAAGGCACACACTTTTGTCCTTCGGATCAGAGTGGAGTCTCTTCTATTCAAGAGGAATCACCGTGTCACAGACCCGGTGCTCAGGCATCTAGCAAAGAAACTTACTTCCTCTCCTTTTGCTCTGATCTTAACTGGAACCACAAAGCCCAAGACAAGCTGATCCAGTAAATAAATCAACCAGACAACGATGAACATCTATGCTGTTCTAGCAACCCCTGTGCCCAGGGTTGCTAGAGAACAGAGCTGTGTGACCCAACACAGCACGATCCGATCTGAGGATGGGATTGAAGTGTTCTGGGAGAGCTGGGGGAAAATACCTTCCCCCACACCGTCTTTCTGCCTGGACACAGCTGTGCCCTGCATTCAATTCTTCTTCAGTCACTTGGCCCTTGGTTTAACCAAATTCTGTTTTGAACTCTGGGGTCCACCTCAGGTGTGTCTTTGCCTGCCTCTCGGCTGCGTTAGAGGCTGCTTCTCTGCTTGGAACCCCCGGGACAGGGTTTGCCCACAGGGTTTCATCTTCCAGGAGCAGGCACTCGGAGGTGCTACACAGACCAGCGAGGGCCTGGGTCGAGTGCTCCCCCAGGCTTTCCTCCATCCCATCTCTTCCTCCTCCCACGTCATCTAAGAAACACTGTTCCTCTTAGTTAGCATGGTCATTTACTGGGCATCGAGTACAAAGTGGAATGAGGAAGCCAGTTCCTGAAAGTTGCTATAGCCTTTTTACTTACCCTAACCTTTTCTTAAGTTAAAAAGATAATTTAAACAACCCCCATTCCTGGACTGTGACTCCTGCTGATTAAAAATGAGAAGTCGCGGGGGGGAAGGCTTCCACTGCTTTGAAGTCTGTACCCCCTGGGTCCTGGGCACGCTCAGCTGTTCTGGGGAGGACCAGGGAGCCCCCCTGGCTGGCCCATCTGAGCAGCTGCACTGCGCAGTTGGACTTGGCTTTGTGTGCCGCTCTGCTGTGCCCTAGTGAGTTTGCTAGGTGGCCCTGCTCTGAGCACTCCCTGCTCTGTCCTTTGATACAGGCTTGAGGTCAAAACAGAGTGTTCAGATCAACCATGAAGTTGGACACATTGTTCAAACAAAGAACTAAAATCACAAAGAATTATTTAAAATGCAAATTTGGTTAGAATGGAGCCCTAGTTTTCCCAAGCTCAGTTCAAGGTCATGACTTACAAACTGACTCTGCAGGTGTAGGCAAGCTATTCAAACTCTCCACACCTTTCTTCCTTTGTCTGTAAGATGGTGATTGTATCCATTTCCTAGTACCACCAACTGGGTGGCTTCCGAGAACAGAAATGTATTGCCTTGCCTTTCTGGAGGCTGGAAGCCCAAAATCAAGGTGGGGGCAGAGCCATGCTCCCTCCAAGACTCTGGGAAGGAGCCTTCTTCGATTTCGGTGGTAGCCGGCACTCCTTGGCATTTCTTGACTTGCAGCTAACGTTCCAGTCTCTGCCTCTGTCATCGCATGGCCATCTTCACATCTCCTTCCCTCTGTGCATGTCCATCTGATGCTAATTTCCTCTTTTTAAGGACGCCAGTCATATCAGATTAGGGTCTCCCTTATGACTATGTTTTGACTTGATTTTTCTCTGTAGAGACCCTCTGTCCCAATAAGGTCACATTCTTTTTATTTTCTTCTTAATTTATTTTATTTTTAAAGAACTATATTTGATTGCTTATGCTATTACAGTTGTTCTATTCCACCTCCTTTATTCCCCTCCACCCTGCACACCCTCTTCCACCCAAATTCTCCCCCTTTTGTTCATGTCCATCAGTCATACATGTAAGTTCTTTGGCTTCTACATTTCCTATACTATTCTTAACCCCCTCTGTCTATTTTCTCCCTACCCTTTATGCTACTTATTCTTTGTACCTTATTTCCCATTCCCTGCCTACCAATCCCCCACTGATAACCCTCCATGTGATCTCCATTTCTGTGATTCTGTTCCTGTTCTAGGCGTTTGCTTTGTTTGTTTTTGGTTTTGTTTTAGGTTCAATTGTTAATGACTATGAGTTTGTTGTCATTTTACTGTTTGTATTTTCATCTTCTTCTTAGATAAGTCCATTTAATATTTTATATAATAAGGGCTTAGTGATAATGAACTTCTTTAACTTGACCTTATCTGGGAAACACTTTATCTGCCCTTCCATCCTAAATGAGAGCTTTGCTGGATGCAGTAATCTTGGATGTAGGTCCTTGCCTTTCATGACTTAAAATACTTTTTATCTCCTTCTTTTCTGCAAGATTTCTTTTGAGAAGTTAGCTGACAGTCTTATGGGCACTCCTTTATAGGTAACTATCTCCTTTTCTCCTTTCTCCTTCTCTCGCTCCTTTTAAAACTCTCTCTTTATCTTTTGTCTGTAATTATGATGTGCCTTGGAATGAGCTCCTTGGGTGCAACTTCTCTGGGACACTGTGAGCTTCCTGGACCTCCTGGAAGTCTATTTCCTTTGCCAAATTGGGGAAGTTTTCCTTCATTATTTGTTCAAATAAGTTTTCAATTCCTTGCTCTTCCTCTTCTGAGGTCAGGGGGTTAACATTTCAACAAGTCAGCTCTGAACAGTGACCATGACAGCACCTACCTGATGAACTTTTTGGGAAGGTTCAATGTCATATTTACATGTGATGTACTTACAATATCTGTGCCTGCCACCTGGTAAGAACTTTGTAAGTGTGAAATATGCTTCAAAATAATAGTGTTGCTATTCCTTTCACTGTGATATGCTTTCTGGTTCAGGAGGGAAAGTGATGGAGTTACAGCCTTTCACTGTGATATATTTTCTGGTTCAGGAGGGGGAGGGATGGAGTTACAGCTTGCATCCACATGGCTGCAGACATTTCATCTTAAAGCCACAGCTCCTGAGAACTATCGCTGCTGGTGAACTGTGGGAGATTCTCAATGACCATTTGTTTGCAAACTTGAGAGTGCCTTTGAGAATAGGTCCTGAAGGGGCCATCACCTCCTATGCCACTCAGGGTAGAAGAGAAATGTCAGAAACCACTGTGCTGATAGAGCAACAATAGCTTGTGACATGGATCCCGGGCCCAAGGGACCTGAGTGTGATTCCAGGTCCATAGGTCACCAGTTATGTGGCCTGAGGTAGATTCCTTAACTTCTCCAACTCTGTCCTTCACCTGACAGATGGAAATAAATCTGTAGCCTGCTGGGAGAAATTCCTGAGACAACACGTGCAGTGCGTTCAGCCAGTAGCAAGCAGGGGTTAAGTGCACAATGAGTTTGTAGTAGAGTTATACCTTTCATATTGATTTTATTAAGCAGTACTAACCCGGGAGCTAGTTATATTCCTGAAATATATAATGAAAGTATATATCATTATATATTTTTTATTTTTAATGTGTAAATACCAAAATTTGTACATGGGTCAAAGATCAAAAACTGTAACGGGGTAGGTATTGAGAAGTCTTGATTCCTGACTCACAACTTTTCATGAGATCTGTGCGATTCCAGGGAAAGTACTGAGCACTCCTGGCATCTACCTCACCCTTTGCCTGTAGGTAACCACCTCGATTAGTTTATAATCTCCCTCCCTTCTTTCTCAAAAGTATCATATTATATGTACTATCTTGTACTTCACTTTTTTCTTTTTATGTTATGACATTGGCTGGAGACCTTTCTGTATCAGTATAAAAGGCACTTCCTCATTATCCTCACACCTGATTAATTTTCTGTTGTTGGCTATACCATTCAGATAACCGTCTTTTGTTGAACATTTGGGATGCTTCCAATCTTTTGCAATGAATAGGCTTATTCATATATGGTTCTGCAAACAGATTATTGTACCTGAGGGCTAATTCCCAGAAGTGATATAACTGGGCCAAAAGATAGTCAGTCACCTTTTGACTTCCCCCAAATTGCCCCATGGCCCTGGGGAGTTTGTATTACTTTGCACTTTCACCAGGAGAGTACGATAATACAAATAAGTGGGAGAATGTACTGTGCTGAAGGATGGGAAGCAGGAATATTATAAAAATGTCCTTACTACTTAAAGTAAAAGACAGATTCAATGCAAGCCCTATTAAAACACCAATAGCATTCTTCTCAAAATTAGAACAAATAATCCTAAAATTTATGTGAAACCACAAAAGACCCTGAATAGCCAAGGAAACCTTGAGAAAGAACACAGTGGAAGGTATCAGACTCCCTACATGACACCATCCTACAAAGCTGCAGTCACGAAAACTGTGGTGCTGGCATAAAACCAGATAAATAGATCATTGGAGCCCAGAAATAAATCCTTGCTTTTATAGTCAATTAATCTACAACAAAGTAGACAAAGATATACAATGGGGTAAAGGCAGCCTTTTCAATAAGTGATGTTGGCAAAACTGCAAAAAATAAAATTGGGCCACTTTCTTATATCATACACAAAACTAAATGTTCATTGCAGAACTTCTAGTTCTGCCTAGTAATATGGAAGCAACCTAGGTGTCCGTCAATAGATGAATGGATAAAGAAGATGTGATAGATACCTCCAGTGGAATATTATTCA